AACAAAATCATAATTAACAAAATCTTCAAGCTACCAAAATTTGTGAGGAATGATATGAAAGCAACAGAAATTACCAAATGGCACTTAAACAAGATCCTATCAGGGTTTTCAGGTTAGTTAAAAGTAACTCCAGGAATACGGCCTTTGATCAGCATAGCCCCATTGCTTATATATCCTCCATGCCTCCAGAGCTGCTTAATACACTTTTAATAATAAAATGACGACAAAGAATATCAGGTTGTAAATATTTATATTCCTCTCACTCACATACAATGTTGTATGAGACATTTACTAGTTTTAATATGTATCCATAGGATTAATACTCATACGGAGTATAATGTGGAAAAGTGCAGAACTAAAGAAAATTAAGTCTATTTGAAAACAAAAGCACACATTTTTTAGGATTTAAAAATATTGCACATAATAAGGTTGCACAGAAATTACTGGCTGGTTTTACAAACAGAATGAGGTATTAGTCAATCTCTAGATAAAGATGAGTACAAAGAAGAGAAATTACACACACACACAAAAACCACAGTAAAACCTAGAGTGCCAAAAACTAAGAAAGAAACGTGAAAGATGTATAAGTAGCTATGATTTCAACACTACAAAATTATTTTTAGCCAGGGACCAAACACGTAACAATCTCTTGGCAATATTTCACAAGTTTTCGACTTTTTTCCAGCCCAAAAGACTATAAGCAATAAAATCATTTTTTACCCCAATTTTACTGTAGAAAAGCATGGTTCTGGGTTAAATATCAAACCACCCCTTTCTAAAGCTTTCAGTGGCAATTAACCAAGATACTGTTCTCCTTTGCTGAATAACTCAATTACACATTTTCACGTACATTTAGCGACCCAAGTCATAGCTGCTACAGAGCATGCAATTATACATTAGTAAAGGTTTCACTGCAAAAATCATTCAAGTTCACACAATTTAAGTCTATAGTAACTTTTTAAAGTTTAATCTTTAAATATATATCAGGCAAATGCAATCTGTTCTTGGTAATAAAACTGGCCACATTAGTGAGCTCAAGGGCAGACAGAGAAAAAGGACTAGGCAGAATTACATCTTTTTTTTTTTAAAGAATCTTTCCTAATCAGGGAAATTAATAATTTAGCATTTTGCCTACTAGTTGAATGTTGCTGAATTTGTCAAAAACTTAAATATATTTAATAGCTATGTCAAGTTGTTTAAAGTGAAATCATGCACTTGTCAAAATAGTTCACAGAAAATTATTTTGCATCAAAGACACTGAGGAAGAGTCAACTAGCTGAGTTTAGTGAGAACAGAGAAAAAAACGAACTACTGTCCTGAACAGTCAGTGTATGTAGTAACCATATTTCCTCTTCGTTGAGTGACAGTCCTGCAGTGCTTGCTAGATCCATGGAATCTATTTTCAGTTTGTACTGTGTGCTGATTGGTGGTGTCAAAACCACTGAAAGAAAACATTTTCTCCATATCTTCAAACATGTCATCGAACAGTCCGCCTCCAAAAGAAAACTCCTGAAAATGATGCCTTTGTCTACTGGAACCATCCTGGCGTGACTGGAAATGATTTTCAAAATGCTTCTTAGACCGAGTGTTTTGGTTTTCACCAAAAAACCCAAAGTCTTTAAATAAGTCATCAAAATTGAAGTTAAATGATTGCTCAAAAGGTCTTCCACTACCTCTTTGTCCTTTACCATTAGTAAAAGCACTATGTCCAAGTGTATCATACTCTTTTCGCCTATTAGCATCTGAGAGTGTTTCATATGCTGAAAGAGACAAAAATACTTTAGTAACTGAAGGTAAAATATTCGAAATTACATATATTCAAATCTCTTCAAATAAGTGAATTCAACTTTTAGGGAAGAATTTCAAATCACAGTAAACCAAAACATTACAAACATAAGCATTAAGTCAAAAATGAAAAGTTATAAAACAAGGCATCGACTTTTTGTCTGATTCACTGCTGTATTATCAACAGTTAGCACAATGCCACCTCTAGTAAATACCCAATAAATATTAAATGAATGCTACCATTACTAAAATAAACATGTGGGCAATAATTATGGAATTCTTTAATCTTCATACTATGCGTGTGAAACCATTATTTGTATTAAAGAATTAAACAGTCAAATATAACCAATTAATAAGAATTAAGATTTTTATCTACTTTCTTACTAGTTGAAGTAAATGTTTCATTCTAATTCCCTACTCAGTTACCTCTACCCACCAATAATTACTGAATGCTCAGGAGATGCAATCTGTTTTCAAACTAGTCTTAAGTCAGAACTTGATTCAACTTTTTCTTTAAAGACAAATATGGCTTTGAAACATACATCAAGTGAAGAAAATCAGGCATGTTAGAGTCTATTTTAATTTTTTTATATTTAATCTATATAGTAAAATACTGTGTTTCGTAAATTAGTTGGTAAGAATTAGAGGTAGCTAAAATTCCTTTTGTCACAGAAGCAACAGTGACTTTATAAATAACAGAGTAAAATAACAGATCTTCCACATTTTTAGATCTGTATACCAATAAAATTATCTACTATCCTTCGTACATTCATTGAGGAATCAAAGTATGTCAGGAGAAAATAATCTCACAGAATCTCTCTACTTATACATAAATCCCACTCCCCCACCCATCTTCACAAAACCTTCAAATACATACACACTTTTTAGCTATCATTCTCCTTATTAGTTAATACCCATGAGACCTCAGAGATAGTCATTTATTTACCTTCTGCAATCTCTCTGAATTTTGCTTCAGCATCAGGGCTCTTATTTTTGTCAGGGTGGTACTTCATGGCCAGTTTGTGAAAGGCCTTCTTGATTTGGCGCTCTGATGCTGATTTTGGCACACCTAAGATATCGTAATAGCTTTTTGAGGCCAGAATTAATTCTGTTATCATTAAAATGCAGATTGCAAAGATGAAAACTGACTGGGGAGTAGCCATTTCTAATATCCTAAAAAAGAAAAGAAAAAAATTTTATTTATGAGCTAATCTAAGACTTTTTTCTTTTAAAAGAAACCCAGTGAAACTTGAGAATTTAAGGTAAACCTTATGTAGTTATCAAAATGTTAAGCATGCAGTTTATCTTGTACCTGTTCACATATTATTTCACTTATACAGGTTTTATAACTCCCAAATTAGCTTAACCTTGTTGAGAGCAAATATTAATAGAATTCAACCAAATTGACAAAAATCTTTTCTGGCTTTGCCTTTCTACTAATACCCTGGCCGTACACAGAGAAGACCAACTTTTCAGTAATTGATTTTTATAATATTGAAGACTCATCATAAGCATTGTTTAAAAAAAAGGGTGGAAGATTCAAATAATATTTTAAAGGATCCCAATCTTCCTTTCAAGAATTCATATTCTGAGGGGTTAATAAGGTATTTAACTTCCCAGGAAAAAAAAAAGGAGGGCATTACCAAGGTAAATAGTTCAGTATGTCTAATTAGTAGTAATCTTCTCTCCCTAAAAAAAGCACCAATTCAGCTGTCATTTCAGCAAGGTGAGCCAAGGATTGCAAATAGAAAACTTAATATCACAATACTGACAATACAATAGAACGTATTTTTTAAAAATATAAGATTGCAAATGTTTACCAAAGAACCATGGATAAATACGTTCTGTTCAAAACTCATAATTAACAGAATTTAAGATTTCTAAGGCCGCCAGAAAAGTGAACTTTGATAGTTTGTACTCTAGATAAAGTTAAATTCTTACTTTCGAACTTCTCAGTAGTTAAAATATTTCTTACTTTTAAACCATTAAAGTTTTCACTTAGAATTCTTGACAATATATGTTTAACGACTCAAAAGTCAAAACGAAGTGACCCTGTTTTTTGAATACTGTACCACAGGAGTCCTTAATAACCTATAATAACAGAACAAGTCTGACGAAAGGCACTGTGGTTTGTGGAAACTGCCTGCCTTCCTCTCCTGTGGCCTTTTCTGAGCGTAATTAGCAGGTGGATTACTTCTTTCCAGAGAGTTACTCATAGTCACGGGTACCAAAGATCAAGTACAACCTCCTGGTTTAAAGACGACAAGCGGAGCGTATCCTGTGGACGCCGCCTGGACTGCAGGTTGCTCCCTAGTCAAAGGGCGAATCTAAAACTGACAGAGGCACCTTACTGGTTTAATGAGCGTTATTCCACGGTTTCAAGTAAACATCTGACCCTTTCTTAGCAAACTAACTTTGGTATCACACTGACTTCTCATTCCCAAGACAAACCTGCCGGTCAGCGGGCTGGGCCTCATTCCCCAGCGCCGGTGACCGGCTGCGTTGGGCCGTCCAACCTTAACCCGAAGGCGACAGGAACACGCCCTGCCCGTCCCGGCCCCGCCGTCGGGGCTCCTCGCGGCCCGGGGTCCAGTCCTGGGAGGAGCTGTCCGATGCCGGAGAAAGCCAGCGGCACTACTCGAAGCACAAAACGCACTACTCCGTGGCTCGGCTATCTCCTTCCTTCTATTCCCTTCGAGAACATGCAGCTCGAAGCCACTGAGGCGGACTCCTCGGCCGAATAGGCCAACAAAGACAGGCCTGCGCTCCCGGGACGCTCCTACCTCCCCTCCCCACGACCCCGGCCTCGTCCCTCACCCGCACCCTCAGGCTGCTGGGGCTTCTCCACAGAGCCGAGGCGCCGGCGATGCTGACGACCGGCTCGGTTCGGCTGCTCGGCCTCGGCCCCTCACCCCGGCCTCCTCGAGCTGGCGCGCGCCCCACCGCCGCTTGCACACGGACCTCGCGTTCCCGCAGCCACCAGCGAGTCCCTCACCCCGCTCCCCTCTGGCGGGCGGCCTCCGCAGGAGCCACCACCTCAGGAGAAGACCAACACGAAACGTTTCCTTATTGGTTCTCGCCTTCCCACATGACCCTTGCGCCCTACGCGCACGTGGAAAACTGTTGTTGCCGCTCAGCCTGTGCGTCACTTCTGGCCCCAACCTCGAAAGGGCGGGGCTGAAGCCCGTGGAGGAGGAAGTGGGTGGAGGGTAGAGGCGGCTTCCCCCCCGCCCCAAGGCAGATTCCGGCGCAGGCGCGGTGCATCTGGCGGCTTGGACCTGGGGCTCCGCCTCAGCGAGGAGGGTGGCCTGTACCCCTCGCTGGCCCTGGTCTCCCGGGGCCTCACCCGAGCAATGCCCCGCTATTGCGCAGCGATTTGCTGTAAGAACCGCCGGGGACGAAACAATAAAGACCGGAAGCTGAGTTTTTACCCGTAAGTTGCCCCAGGACCAGAAGCGCCAGACTGGCCTTTGGCCCGCGGTGCTGTGGCCTTTGGGCTTGTGTACCTCCTTCCTGTCTGCCCAAAAAATGAGTCCTCAGCACTCCAGACGTGGTGGGTCCCTGCACGGGAGAAGGGCACGAAGGCTTGAGTTCAGTTTACCTATAGCATTGCCCTTCGTGAGCGAGGACGCCGGGCTGGTGGCGAGGCATAGGGGCCTGTTTGGGTGTTAAAAAGAAAACAGTCAAGTTTGCGCAGTTAAGTCTGCTTTTCAGAGCCTTTTCCCCGCCTCTCCTGACCTCATTTCACTGAAACATTAACCACCATTTAAGGTACATCAAACCTGTGAAGTGGGAAGGTGCACTCAAAGTTAATTTACACTCCCTATGAGTTAGGTCGCATAAATATAATATAATCCCGCCTTTCTCCTGAGGAAACTGAGGCCCAGAAAGATTAGGTAACCGAACTTGAAAGTTTTGTGTCAGAGCCAGAATTATAAACTGTCCTCTGCTCAGAGCTGTATATAGCCTTCACTGGTACAGAGAACAGGGTAGGTAAGTGTTATTTTGAATTACTAGAGCCACAAAATATTTCCATGAAGCTATTGAAGTACTGATTTTTATTCAGAAGATATGGAAGCAGTATTGTATAATAATTAAGAATCCAGGCTCCAAAGCCAGGCTGTTAATAGATTAAAATCCTGGTTGCACTGCTTTATAGCTGAATGATCTGAAAATTGTTTAAGTTCTTGGTGCCTCAGATTTCTCGTCTATAAAGTGGAGATATTAGTAGTACTTAATTCACACTTAACGTGTAAAGAGATATAATATATATAAAAAGCCTATGACGATCAACATATTTAACATATCACACTTTTTTGTATTTAAAAACAATTCATTTAGATCTAACCTGGTTGTCTTGTCTTGTCTTCAGATTTTCTCTAGTTATTTGGTGAAGCTCATTTTACTTTAGACCTGAAGCTCTCATTCACTAATGATAAACTAACGAGTATCTTAAGTAATGGGAAAAACTTGATAACACCAAGTAATTCCCACCACCTGGCAGTCTTTCCAGGATTGTCACCTCCGAAGCCTTTCCTCAAGATGCAAAGAGAGATTTTGGGAGGAAAAAATCTAATCTACCTTTAGTTGCTAGGGAAGTGTTGCTATATTAATGGCTCTAGCTCTGAGGTTTCTAGCAAAAGATTATGTTGAACTTGATATAGCCCCATGTTTCCGAGATTTATTTGGCCTTTGATATTGGTGAGGAGCATAACCCCAGACTAAAAATTTGAAATTTTTGTGGACCTCACAGTTAATGTTTTTAAGAAGGAAAAAAAAAGTGCTAAGTGAGTTATAAAGATTGTTTTTCAAAATGAGAATTTAGTGAAAGTGGAATTGTTTTATGGGTTTTTAAAATTCCGTGTATAATTCGCAAAATAAAAATTGATTTAGTTTTAAAAATTCCCCAATAGCACCAAACTTGAAGAATTGAATTTACTCATATTAACACTATAGCAAGCTATAGTAGAAATTTTTTTGCATTTGGAAACTCAGTTGATGTATACATATAATGTCCAGTTTATACTGTGATTATCTTATACTGTATTGAGAATTACATAAGACAGTGAAACAAAATTATCAAACACTTTAAACCAATATAAAGATAACAAGTCATTCAGGAAACATAGTATAGATTTCTTAGAGATTTACCTGTTGAGGAAATCCAGTTACCAAGGATATTCGCAAAGTGTATTTTACTAATGATTTGATAACTTAGCGTATAGGTGTAATGGAAATAATTTGCAAACAGCATACTTACACATGAATTTACATAAACATTATCGTAAAAGGCATATTCTCATTTTAGATGTAACAAAAAGTATGCTCTTATGGCTTCAGGTCCTCTAAAAAAAAATTATTTTTGCCTTTAATGCTTTTTCTGGTTATGCCTGTCATAAACCTAAGTTATTGATATGTATAAGGTTAAAATATTTTCAAAACTTGTATTAATGCTGTTTCTATGGTGAGAACTTCCAAAGGTTATTCATCTGATTTTTCCATATGAGGATGTCAGGAATAAAAATTACTTCCAACAAAGTACCCAGACTGACCATAGCATCTTATAAAGTTACCAAAACTTAGAAAAATCATGCATAAACTAAGTGGTTAGGGGGAAGGAATATGCAACAGCTACATTTTGTATAGAAACCATATGTTTTTGCTATTTTTTAAAAACAGGAAATTGTTAATGTTGTATATGTCTTGGACTGCATTCTTGGAACATTATCAAATGAAATATAAACCACAGTCAACTAGTGTTTAATACACATTAACCCAAACCTATTTAGTAGCAAAAATTTTCTATCAAATTCTGCCATTAGTCCAGTTTTGCCTGTAAAACATATTGCAATATGTTAGCACCAACTCTAAATCCAGGTTCTTGTCAGTACAGGAACAAAATGTATAGAGAACTGTCTTGCCTTTATATTTGATTTGTTTCATATAAAATATCTGAGTCCATCCTTTTTTACATGTTTAATTCTTATATCAGAGTTTCTCTTTTAGAACTTGAATTTTGGAGTTCTCAGTCCATTGGTTATAGAAATCTAGTAATATTAGACTAAATTACATATGAGTAGAATGGAGCTGATGCCAGTAAAGAGAATAGAATATTAGTTTTATAAGAATGTTCATTTTATTCAGCTAAATCATTTGTTTGAAATAACATCTCCTTATTTTAAAAATGTTAATATAAGTAAGAGGCTAAAGCTCAATACCTTGAATTATAGATAACAAACCATTTGACTTGTATTGGTGTGAAATACGTTGGATAGGAATTTGTAATTTACAAAAAGTTCTTTCCTTGTTCTAGGCAAACTATACAACAAAGTAAAAATGGAACATAATTCATAGAAAATAGGAATAGATTTTTATCCTTTATAAGAACACATATATTTTACTTAAAAGCACTGTGAATATATTCAGCTCTTCTCAGACAAAAGCTTTGGCTACATATCTTACATCTTAGTTCTTTCACTGCAGAGATGATAGTAGTTGTTATGAAGATGCTCTTGTTTGGTAGGGATGGATGCATACTCTTACAGCACTGAATGCATAGGTTACCTAGATATGTAGGCCAGAAATATGGCAAAACTGTAAAAATATAGCAAAATTTTCCCTCTTTTTTCTTTCCTTTTTTTAATTTCAGATTTCCTCTACATGACAAGGAAAGACTTGAAAAGTGGTTAAAGAATATGAAACGAGATTCATGGGTTCCCAGTAAATACCAGTTCCTGTGTAGTGACCATTTTACTCCTGACTCTCTTGACATCAGATGGGGTATTCGATATTTAAAACAAACTGCAGTTCCAACAATATTTTCTTTGCCTGAAGACAATCAGGTATTGGGGGTAGGGGAGATGGGTAATGCTGAGCAGGGTGGCAGGTGATCAGGTAAAGAGAGTGAAAGGGAAAGGTAACTTGGGAAAACAGATATTTGAGAAAAAGGAACACTAATTTGTGCTTTTACTAAAGGTGTGATAACTTTTTAAAAATTTAAATGGTCATGAAGCACAGCTCAAGAGAAACAAATGATACATACATTATTATTAAGTTATTAACATAAGTTAATAAGTTTTTTACTGGTCTTTTGATCTGAAATGTTCATCATATATCAAATGGGTTTAATGCTTTTTAAAAAACACTTTAAGGTATATTTGTTATAGACTTAGAACATTTTTTAAATTGAATAAATTTTCTTTGCTAGTATACTGCTCCAAATTGTAGTCAGCACTGACTAGTAAGAGAATGCCTGTAAAGGCGATCTTTTTCAGAATTTGAAAATATTATTTTCTAGGGAAAAGATCCTTCCAAAAAAAAACCCCAGAAGAAAAAATTGGAAAATGAGAAAGAAGTATGCCTAAAAGCCAAGTCAGAAGAATCATTTGCATTAAATGAGGCAAATAAAAATGTAGTTAACACAGATATGCCCCCTGAATGTGCAGAATTACTTGATTCATCTGCTTTGTTGAAGCCACAAGCTCCAAAAACAGGAAGTATACAAAATAACGTGTTAACTCTTAATCCAGTTAAACAAGATACGGGAAAACCAGAATCTACCTTGGAAACAGCAGTTAACCAAGATATAGGTATAGGTGGTTTTCACACATCTTTTGAGAATCTAAATTCTGCAACTATTACTTTGACAACTTCCAGTTCAGAAGGTGTTCATCAATCTTTAGAAACCCAGAAAGTGCTTGAAATAACTACCAATCATCTTGCTAATCCAAGCTTAACCAATAATTCCGTGGAAATTAAGTCAGCACAGGAAAAGCCATTCTTATTCAGCACAATTAATCAAACAGTTGAAGAATTAAGCACAAATAAAGAATCTATTATTGCCATTTTTGTACCTGCCGAAAATTCTAAACCTGCAGTTAATTCTTTTTTGTCTACCCAAAAAGAAACCATGGAAATGGAGGACTCAGACATTGAAGACTCTTTATATAAGGATGTAGACTATGGGACGGAAGTTTTACAAATTGAACATTCTTACTGCAGACAAGATATAAATAAGGAACATCTTTGGCAGAAAGTCTCTAAGCTACATTCAAAGATAACTCTTCTTGAGCTACAAGAGCAGCAAACTCTAGGAAGATTGAAGTCTTTGGAAGCTCTTGTAAGGCAGCTGAAGCAGGAAAACTGGCTATCTGAAGAAAATGTCAAGATTATCGAAAATCATTTTACAACATATGAAGTGACTATGATATAGAGTAAAGATGTTTTAAAGCTGTGACTATTAAATAAGCTTTCCCAGCCAAACCAAATTATATGTAAAGTGAACTTTTTACTGTATAAAGATTGCATCTTAATGAACCTATGAGAGTTGTCTAATGTTATGAACTGCATCCTGTTCTTATAATGCTCATTTTTTAGAAAAACCAGATAATTTGTTGGACTGAAGAGAACAAGTTTTATTACTTGATAATTTTCTAAATTAAAGTTAAGATACGGTGAAAACATGATAGTCATAACATGAGAGAACAAAGATATGGTTAAAAGAGCCTGGAATAGAAGTCAGGTTCAGGAATCAGTCCTGGTTTTACCACTAGCATATGACCTGGGCAAATTACTTATCAAGATTGAGCCTCAGTCCCTAATCTGTAAAATAAGAGAATTTACTAGATCTCTAATAGTCTGTTTCTTTATAGTTCCCTTTCTATTAAGATACTTTTATTAGAACCAGTTTTCTTTAAGATAATATATACATACATAATACTGGAAGTTGGCTAGAATGTGATAGTATTAACTATTGGGTTATCCTCAATATTTATTGAATTCTGTGTTGTTTGACCTTTTGGCTATAGTTATATATTTGTAATATAAAGTAAAATACATCTTTTGATCTAGTTACACTAAAATAAGGAGTCACCCATTAGCCCAGTTCTTAGGAGGGGTTCTTTAAACTTTAAAAAGTATATATTTCAGTACCTTATATGTGGCTAACCATCATAATACATAGTCATTTCAGCTTCTTAACATCCTGTATTTATACAGTTATATTTATAAACCAAAAATTTTAGGTTAATTTTAAATATGTAAGTATATTTTAGAAATCATAGTTTATTTCTTAGCAGGTGTAGCTTTTGAAATGTGTGCTTGTGTCATTTTTAAATTCCAGAATAATAGAGGAATCCTATGTTACTCCATAACTGTGAGAAAATAAGTTTCTGTTATTTAAGCTACCCAGTGTATGTTATTTTTATAATGGGAGCCTGTGCTGACTAAAACATCCCTATAATCCAAAGCAATGAAATATCATTGCAATAGTTAAAATCTACGTGCATCAAAATAAGTGTCAACAATTTATACACTTATGTGTATTTTATTAGAATTTATAAGCAAGAAATTATAAATGGTGATGACCCTAGAGAGACAAAGGTTTTCTCTTAGGAAAGGGAAGTGATGGTGATACAAATAAAAACACTGATTATGTCTACAGGAATTTAAGAAAAATGTAAAAGTGAAGACTTTGCGGTAACACAAATTTGAAAAATAGATACATTTTCTTAAAATTGGCAGTCAATATCATTAAATACATTACTGCCTATGGCACTGAGCAAGGTCTTGTTGGTCTGATGTTTAGTTTTATCACTTGTGAAATAGAAAATACTACTATCTAAAAGGATGATTTTGAGAATTCTGTAAGGTAGCAAACATCTTTCTGGCCCTGGAAAATAGGAGGTGCTCAATAAATATTAGTTGACTCTGAATAGCAAGTATTTCATAATATACCAATTGTTTTGTAAATGCATGATGATTATTTTTGGACATATTTCACATAGTTTCTTCAGCCTAATAAAATTAATTAATATATGAAAGTGTGTTGGCTTGCTATAAAAAATTAGGTGTCTTTGTTAGATGACAGTAGAGAAAAATACTTAAAATATTTGCATAAATTATGTGCAGATAATTGGTAGAGTCAATACAATGTCATTTTTAAGTATCCCCATGTTGCATTTTGCTAACAGTTAATTTAAAATAAATAATACAGATTAACCCTGAGTCACAAGAAAGTAATGATGTGTTTCTGGTTTTAACAGTGTATATCATAATTTTTGTTTATAGATTCCTCAGGAATAATTTAAATTAGCTATATTTCTTTAAACTTAATAAGTTATAAGTATACAGGTTGAGTGTCTTTTATCCAAAAATCCAAAATGCTCCAAAATCCAAAATTTTGAGTACCAGTGTGATGCACAAGGGAAATGGTCCTCGGAGCATTTCAGATTTTGGATTTTTGAACTTGGGGTGCTCAGCCATTAAGTGTGATGCAAATATTTCAAAATCTGAAAAACAACTTTCTCTATTCACCTCTATCCTTACCATGATAATCATTCTGTAAAACTTTAAACAACATTGCTCTTTCCTCTATTGTCCTCACTTCCTTAAACTCCATTCCTGAACTCTCATATTTTTGCCTTTTCTATTCCTACATCAGAAAAACAAGCTGGAGAAATCATACAGTTGGACAGACTTGATTATAAATTCACGACCACAAACCTCAAATGGGCCTAGCAGTGTTACTGTATTTCTCTAGTAAGTTCATAATTTCACTCAAATTCTTCCTAACGCTCTTCCCTTCCTCTCCAGCCCCTCCCTTGTACTTGCTCAAGCTGAGGGTCTCATCACATGCATCATTGAGAAAATCAAAATCATCATAAACACCCCTTCTTATGGACTGAATTGTGTCTTCCCCCAAATTTATACATTGAAGCCCTGATCTCCAATGTGACTATTTGGAGATGGGGGCCCCAGGAAATGTAGCTAAGGTTAAATGAGGCCATAAGGGTGGGTTCCTGATATGAAAAGATTGTCTTTATAAGAGATACCAGAGAGATGCTGTCTTCACCATGTGAGGACACAGCAAGAAGGTGGCCATCTACAAGCCAGGAAGAGAGCTTCCACCAGAACCCAACCATTCAGGCACCCTGATCTCAGACTTCTGGTCTTCAGAACTGTGAGAAAGTAAGTTTCTGTTGTTTAACCTACCCAGTCTATGGCATTTTGTAATGGCAGCCTGTGCTGACTAAAACATCCCTATAATCAAAAACATTGAAATATTATACTATAGTTACAATGATCTGCATGCATCAAAATGTATACCAAAACAATATGCAAAAAGGTAAGTTGCCAAAGGTTTGATAGTATACTACTTAAAATCCTAAAATGCAAAAATAATGTATGTTGCTTATATATGTGTATATACATTCCTGTATAGTTAAAAGCACACTGACTTCATGATCATGATTACCTCTGGGGAAGCAAGAAGGAGTTGTGAAGAGATTTTATGTTTCATTTATTAAAAAAGAAAAGGGAGTTGAATGTTGTTAAAATATTAATATCTAAACTAAATGATAGGTACTTCTTTATTCTATAAAATGTTCCAAAGCTAAAAACAAAAAACTACATATTTTAGTTAGAATGACAGAATGATGTGTTAGCCTTTTTATGAAATTCAGATCATCTGTGCTTACTCTTCATTCTAATGGTTTGTTATGATTGTAGTTTTCTGTTTTAAGACCATTTGAGAGGAAGAGGTGGGTAGAGGGAGATTACAGTGAAAGAGTTGATGATTCAAAATCAATAAACTTATATTTGAAGTTAGTCATTGTGACAGAATAAAGCTCCCTTACCAAGGATTTCCACAACCTGATCTCAAGAACCTATGAATGTTACCTTATTTGGCAAAAGGAACTCTGCAGATGTAATTAAGGTTACAGACCTTGAGATGGGAAGATTATCTTAGATGATGTGGGTGTGCCCCATCTAATCACATCAGTCCTTAAAAGTGGAGAATCTTTTCCAGATTGAGTCAGAGAGATGCCATGTGAGGACTCAACCCACCTTGCTATCTTTGAAGATGAAGGAAGGAGGCCACAAGCCAAGGAGCGCAGCATCCTCTAGCAGCTGGAAACAGTTCTCAGTTTATAGCTAATAAGAAAATGATGACCTCAGTCTTACAACCACAAGGAGCTGAATTTTGCCAACAATCTGAATAAGCAGGAAACATTCTACCCTAGAGCCTCTAGAAAGGAACACAGTTTTTGATTTTAGGCTAGTGAGACCCTTACCCAACTGCTAACCTACAGAACAATAAGATAATCTTGTGTCGTTTTAGGCTATTAAACTTGTAGTAATTGTTAAGGGCAGCAATATGAAAGTAATACAAGTACTTAATCTGTTTGAGATTCAGCTTTTATTCCTTTCAAGTGTTTTCCCCAACACATTAAAAGAGTACATTCTACATTAGCCTGTTGCTTAGTTCACTGAACACTCAGCTTTCTCACTGAAATACAATGAATGCTTTATTCAGAGGTCACATATTTCATATCATATATGTAAAAGTGTTTTGCAAACTAAAAGGCTGTAGAAATGTCAACTATTAACGTTATTATTTGATTTCTCTTTGTAATGGCATTAGACTAAAAACCAGAAATTATTTTTAGATTTCTGGATTCATTCATTAAGGCCTAATGTGTGCAGAATACAAGAGTTATTGCTGCCCTCATCAGAATGAAAAAAGTTGTAGCCATTTCTAAGTTTTCTTCTATGGAAACCATAATCATGGTCCATGAAAGGGAATTGGCTGTTGAAATTCAATTCTTGTCATCTGAGGTAAAATAAGCCATAGCTTTGCTCTTAAAACCATGCATTCTAAAATTGAAAGATTTCCTAGGATATGGAGTAAGAAAGTCTTTAGAAATTTGTAGACTTCCTAAAAATTACAGTGAATATTCCTCGAAGTCTGTATGGAAGAAAGTAAGGGTAGATGAGAGGGGGAAAGACTGCATGAAGAGAGAGAGGGAGGAGGAAGAGTGGATGACTGGATAGGTGGGTGTATAGATATAGGGAATTTACACTTCACTCTGACAACTGCTTTCCTAGGCAGTAGCCAGAGCTCAAGGCTGTGAAGGAGAAATCAGATGAGGATTCTTCTACAGTCCCTCAACCTTCAAGAGTATAACAGGAAATCCTCCCTGTGAACTGAAATTCTGGATTCCTCATCCCCATCTCAGTAAATAAGACATCTTCATTACTGAAGGACCCTTATCGGTTACAGGATGTCAAGAACCAAGTGAATGTTTAGATCAGCCCATCACCAACTCCACATTTTTGTCAATAAAAAAGGTAATACTCGGCCGGGCGCGGTGGCTCACACCTGTAATCCTGGCACTCTGGGAGGCCGAGGCGGGTGGATCGTTTAAGGTCAGGAGTTTGAGACCAGCCTGAGCAAGAGCGAAACCCCGTCTCTGCTAAAATTGGAGAGAAATTATTTGGACAACTACATATATAGAGAAAAAACTGGCCAGGCATGGT